TCTTAAAATATAATAAAAATTTGTAGTAAGAAATCTCATGCATCACTTAAAATTTAATATTTCGTTAATTTATAGCAATTTGGAGTTTTCGGAAATATCTCCGAAAAATAAATTCGTGACTGTTTACGATTTTTATGGTAATAGAACGCGAATAATATTATATAGTTAAAGCTTAAGCCTTGCTACTCGATTTCACAGGGTTTCGGAGTACCTAAATTTCCGCTTAAAATTATTTGTTAAATCGTTTACAGTTTTTTAAAACTACAAAATAGTTATATAAGTAAGAGCATAACCGTTTGTCGACATATTTTTTTTTAAATTTCTTTAGTTTTGCCCAGAATATTACAAAAAAGAAGTAAGCGTCTTAAATCTAAATAAACTTTGAAAATTACTCATTTGTTTCATACTTGAATATAAAATTAATAAAATAAAAAAATCAACATATTATATTTTATGTTTATTTGTGTTTAATAACAAATCGAAGGAAGTTAGTATTCATCATTTTCAACTCTGGAAGTGATCCGCTTGGTTATTCTTACACTGGAATTAACGTTTTCGTTTCATTTCATAAATACAATTTTACTGTATTAAATAGTATGTAATTAATGTATACCTTAGCCACAGCAACGCTTGGACGGGATCCTCTAGTTTTTTATATTATTGTAGATACCATATATACTGACTTAAGAATTTACAATCTGAATAAAGTTTTTCTTACATTCGCCTTTAACTAAAATAATATGAAATAATATTTCACTTTCGCCTGCTTGGATGCTAAGTGGTTCGCACTTGAAAATCTCCAAATATCATAGTTATTTTCTTGTCCCTTATATTGTCTCTTTTAGCATAATAAATACCATACATACACACATACATATCTGTTACCCCCCGAAATCTGGCTTAACATCCTTTTTGCGCATTTATTAACCAGTTGCAACATTTTCGGAGTAAAATAATGAAACTCTCCAAACAGTGTTAAGCAAAGGACTGTAAAAAACAAATTTGTAATGAAAACAGCTTGTGGTAATTCCACAAATCTCGCACTGACACCTTTGGCTTAACTACACAATTATGCCATCCCCTTGCAACGGGGAAACGCTGTTCACCTAACATTCATTTGCATTTCAGTGCTTTCTTAGGAAATCCCTTTAATTGGTGAAACTCTGGTATCTTCAGGTTTGGTATTTGCTTGTGCTTCGTTTCTTTCGTGTAGCGAAGGCCATCACTGCCAGCAAATCCTTTTTACTTTGCTACTCATTACAATCTGGAAATCTCACTCAACATTTCAGTGGCATTTTCATTTCGTTTTTATTAATAATTTTCCTTTATGATAATAAAATTTTGTTATTATTTCACTCGTAGTGCCGAGCAACACGTCTTCGGCGCTTTGTTGTTTTGTTTTTTTCTTTCGTTTTGTTTTATTAAAATGCATTCACTTCGCTGGGCACGCATGGACACCCCACTTCAAACCGCTGACTTTCATTACCACCTCGTTTTACTTTTTCACTTACTTTTTACTTACTTTTCGCAGTCACCGACTTGGCACATTCTTCCCTGTCTGCCCACGATGTCTTAACCTTGGCGCGATTTTATTATGAACACAACAACATTTGGGCTTCACCATCCAACATTCGCACAATTTCCCCCCTCTTCACCAATTTCACTTTAATTTCACTTCAAAATGGTTCCCAAGCGATTTACAGATTTAACTGTTGAACAACTGTATTATTTTATTGTTGTAGTTGTTATTGTTGAAAAATTCATTTAGTTGTAACATTTCAGAAGCTTCAACTTTTCATCAACACCACTTTTTTTCTTGCTGTTGTTTGTTTTTATTGTATTAGTTAAGAAAATCATTGTGAAAGCTATCAAAAAGCAACTTTTAACTTTTCTTCGTTGATTTGGCAACCGAAAATTACTTTTAAGTAGTTTTGTGGCTAAACTTCAAATTTAACCAACAAATTTGTAGGCAATTGTGGTTGTTTTGGTTTTGTTGTTGATTAGCTGAGAGCAGCGGAGAATATGATGAGAATGATGTGGTAAGGCTTAGGACGAGATATATGACTATTAGAAGAGAAAGTATTCAAAACTATAGAAGATGTTCCGTACCCAAGATCGTTTGACAGTAGAAGTGTTCTATGTAACTGGAATGAATTCGAATAGTTATCTAGCCCGGGACTGGTAATTCGATCAATCACTACCAGTTGCTTAATATGATAGCCTTGAAGTTTAGATAAATATCGCTAAAAAATCACGTGGAGAGGTCAGAGAGACCCACTTTTTTTCCGAAAAGTATTTTGCTATTAACCACATTACTCTCTATTACTGTGATATTACCTAGACATTACCTATCCTGTGTAGCTGTTGAGAACCTAGGGCATTTCTTAAAATCGGAGGACCAGACTCTCCTTAGACCTGCATAAAGCGCAGGTATAATATTGATACAAATATTGTCGAAGCTTAAATTTGCTTTGTATTACTAAAAGATTTAGGGCATATTTTCCTACACTTTGGGGACGTCAGTTCTAGATTGGAGGTATTGAGTACTCTAAATCGTTCTCCACTAATAGAATCGATTTCGACTGTCTTCTTCCGCGGAAATTCATAAGCTTTACCGTATAATATTATTCGAGAGGGTTGCCTTATATATTTCGGGATGAGAGAACAAAAACAATTATTAATCATCGAAAATTGCTTTATTGTTTTTCAAAATATTCTCAATTAAGATCTAGGTATAGACTTTTGTCGAAGCACTTTTGCCACTCTAAGAGGTATCTCCAACATATGCGTTCTCAACATCTTAAATTAAAAATTCAGTTGTTTCAGTCGATGTGTGAGAGCTACGCCTGCGATTAAATTCTCTATACCATCGATAGACACTGGTCCTTAATTGAGCTCCGTAAGTTAAAATTTAATGAATTTTATCTACATTGCTGAGTTAATCCACGTTAAAAGTTGTAGAATGAGTGAGATGAATACTTTAAGTTACTGTAAATGATAGAAATAGCGTTCTTATATCCAAACGTTCTGAGTATGTATAACATCAAAAATGTCAAACTTTACGATCAAGTTGTGAGTTGCCAATTGCAACACTAGGTTGTCAAATCCCGAAAAATAAAAGGAAACGTAGAGAGAGAAATATATCATTCCTCCAAACTGACCTCGACTAGCTAGTCTGCGATGCCACAGATTTGTAATGAGCGATATCGAAAACCCCATCTCCAACCTTAACATCCAGCTCTGAACCAGGATGCCTATTTCCTTATATCACAAATTAGACCTTCTCTCTAAATTGTACTATGCAAATAATAAGGAATATAAAGGATAATAAGGAGCTGCTACGAAGATCTCCTTAGTAAAGGTTGGCGGGAGATTCTACTTTTCCCCATTTTTAAAACTACTTTATAATAATATCCTAGTCTGATGAGTCTTGCAAGAGTTTATAATGTTTTTATAATTCCGAAAGATTTTTTTCAGTGATGTTCTCTTTTACCTTTTTTGCGCTTCGTCGAATATTTAAGTTTTTTCGAATATTCTCAGTCTGTTTTAACTGACAAGTGATTTTGACGAGCTTTTCGCGGTTTTAAGTTCAATCTTTATTAGCAACTACAAATCTAATTTAGCAACTTTTTGACCTTATTACTTTTTATATTATTTATATTATATGTTTTGAGTTTTTCGAAAACTTAGAATCTTTGTTTCATTTCCCAAATAATATTTACTACTACTTACTCTATAGTTTTCTATTGTTGAGTGCTTTCTATGAGCTTTTCCAGTTATATGTATCAAGCAAATCTATTTAAGGTTTTTTAAAACAAATGACATTTTTTCTAATTCCCAATTTTTGTTTTGTGAATTGTTACAGTTTTTGGAGTAGTGTTATATATACTTGTATGTTGTTATTTATTTTTATTTACTACTTCTATCTGTCTATGCTGCTTTTATTATCTTCGTTTTAGACCCGTTTTCACTTTATTATTATTTGTAGAAATTCTTAGAAGTAAATACTATGGAAAATATAACATGAAAATAAATCGATGATTGATTGCAAATTACTTTGACTAGTTAATTATCAAGTTTTGCTTATGATTAAGAGGTCAAGGCCAAGTAGCTGCTTGTTTTCCAGACATTTAGTGGCGCTGAGACGGATTAAAAAAATTGAATTTCACAAATAAATAAAGGGATTTAGCAAACTATTTGAAAATTATTATTGGTTGAAAATAACAAAAGAAATTGTAATAATTGACGTTGAATAGATCTATGCTAATTTGTCGCCTTTATACTATTGTGTAACTTACGTAAACTGTAAAATCTACAGCTGGCTATTTTTTATGTAAATTAACATAAACCTAAATCTGTGTTAAAAATTCTAACCAAATTTGATTATTCTTTTTGCTGAGTTTGCCAGAGAAAATGAAAGGTTAACTAACATTAAGCAAGACTTAAGTCAGTTAGAGTTGCAAGAGCGCTGCCAGCTGCGCGGGCAGTTGAATGAACTGCGTGAAGAAGAAGCTTGCCTATTTTTTGTGAATTTTAATTAGTAGTTGGTATATTATATTTAGCAACTGCTGTGTGTCTTAGTCGCTTACGTTTATGCTAGCAACTTTAGAGCGCTAAGTAGGCTATTAATCTTCGCCGTCTCGAAGAGCGTTTAAGTTTCGGTTTTTATTGTTTTTTTTTACAAAGTTTTGGGGATTTTATTTTTATGTATGTATGTTATGTATTATAAATTCTTTTCTTTAATTGTAAAATCTTTCTTTTTTTATTTAAATTCTAGCTTAATTTTAGCTCTTCTTATGGATAGTTTAGGCAATACCGGTTCCATAAAATCGTGCTGATTTTAATTTAGTCATTATATTTGTAATATTAGACCTAAAAGCTAGTTTACTTTCAATATTTTGTTGATAGAAAAATAATACTCCGTATCTCAAGCAAATGATTAGAGTGAAGAGAACGGTTAAAAATAGGCTGAGTGTGCGTGGTAGGGACTATAAAAGTCGAGTACTTGGCGCAGTGGTTATCAAACGTTTACGCACCGTGTACGGAGTAAGCTGAACCTATTACAAAATGGTAAATAAATTTTGTAACGAAATAATAAAATAGTAATAAAAAAATTATAAGAAATAAAAGTGAAAAAAATAAAGTAAAATTAGATTAAAAAAGTAATGAAGCAACACAAAAGTGTATTAAACAAACTGTGCAAAGAAATTATGCGTAATTATATTTAATCTGTCAAGAAATAATTGATTTTCATACCAAGCCGCAACAATAAATTTTGAATACATTCGAAGTTTTTAAAATTTCTTAATTTTTGAAATTCTGAAAATTTATAATTACAATTCCGAACTACTCCGAAAAAAAATTTAGCGCTTAATTTAAGCAAATAATAATTTTTCAAGTCAGAATAGTTTAACAGACAAAAATTATTTACTCCGAATTACTCCGATATTTTGTTAGCACGTGAAAAATCTATTTTAAAAAATTACTATATAAATTTAGCGCATATTTACTTAATTAAGGCTAAATATAAAGATGTAGAATTACTCCGAAAAAAATTTAGCGCCTTCTTTCAGCAAATAATAATTTTCAAGCTTAATTAGTTTAACAAAAGAAACTTTCGTAGTAATTTGGAGTAGGAATTACTCCGAAATATTTTTCGCGTTTAAAAAAGTTATTTAAAAACGTTACTATTTCAATTATCTATATATTTTCCTAAAAAATAACTAAATATAAATATATAGAACATATGGTATATTCAAAATTATTTTAATCCAGAAATTTTTCCTGAAAAGATTGCAAAAAAAGCTGAAAAAAGAATATCTACGACACATTTTAAAACTATTTCCTTAAACTCCTCTGAGATATGCTACGCTGGCTCAATCTCACTATCTTCTTAAATTTAAATTTATTTTTATTGAAATAGGTGAAAAATAAATAATATAACTAAGATCTCTCTCAATCTCTCCCCCATTGTTTACAGAAATTCTTCCTCGTCGCTTTTGCCGCTATCCTGGCTTATGCCAGCGCTGATGTCTCTGAATTGGGCTACAGCTATCAGGAACCCGCACCTGTGTCATTCAATGTCCCAGCTCCCGCTCCCGCACCAGTTGCCCAACCTGATCGAACCTACGTGCCGCCAGCACCAGTTCATGTGCCAGCTCCAGCCCCTGCTCCAGTCCATGTCCCAGCTCCCGCTCCAGTCCATATCCCAGCCCCAGCCCCAGCTCCAGTTCATTTCCATGCCCCAGCTCCAGCTCCAGCTCCAGTACATGAAGCAGCCCCAGCTCCAGCTCCAGTTCATGTCCCAGCTCCAGTTTACATCCCAGCTCCAGCACCAGCACCTGCTCCAGTTCATGTTCCAGCCCCCGCTCCAGTTCATTTCCATGCCCCAGCTCCAGCTCCAGTACATGTCTCAGCTCCAGCTCCAGTTCATGTCCCAGCTCCAGTTTATATTCCAGCTCCAGCTCCTGCCCCAGCTCCAGCTCCAGTGCAATTTGTTGCCCCTGCTCCAATTGCTCCAACTGAGCAAATCGAACATCACGCCGATGATGGTTACCGCTACAAGACGGTCCGCCGTCGCGTTTACAGACGCCGTTATTAATTTTGTTTTATTTGGATTGATGATGATAATTCTATACGGAGAAACAAAAGATACACTTAACGATTAAAGAAAAAATATAGTTCTAATAGAAAAAAGTGGATTTTATTTAAATTTAGGGAACATTTGAAGCTCGATAAAATACCGGGACTTTAAATGGAGCTTTTCGACAGAAATTTTTGATCAGCTCTTATCTGTATAGCTGGATCCTTCGTTTCTCTAATCTTAACAAAAGAGTTTTCAATAAAGCTTGTAGAAATAGATATACTGTCTATAGGGCATTGTTTAAAGTGAAAATTGGGATCTACAAGCTTAGACTGCCGCATGCAGTGCTTTGTAAAGCCAGTTAAGTTAATAAAATCTTAAAGAAGGTAGTCCTCCAGATTGCCTATACTGGCGACGTAGCCCTTATTTAAAGAAAAATATTCTGAATATAAAACCCAGAATACGAGCTAACTTAAGGGAAACATAATGATAAGCTGGATAGATAGAAGTGACCTAGCCTTCTGAAATGAAACTGAAAAAATGTAAAGCTTGAATTCAATATTTGATTCAGAAAATTTAAATATTTGAGAGGAAACTAAGTCCGTTAAAATAGTTAGAGGCGAAGCCATATCCACCTCTTTTATACTTTTTTTCTTCTGCGGTCTTATTTGGAAATATTTGGAAATATTTGCAGCTGTTAGTTTTGCGAGATTAAAAATATGCAAAAACCTTTGATTTATTTTTAAGTCACCCCTGGGAAGTCTTCAATTATGCATCTTTAGCTTGCAACTTTGCGCGTATCAAGAACCGCATTTCCTGCAATATTTACCTCACCATTTGCTCAGGTTAGAAATAAATATTTAATTTCTTTTGAAAGCTATAATCTCATTAAATGCAACGCTACGAGTACTCTCCGGGCATGTTGCAAGGTGCCTCTAACCACGCACAGCAGTACATCGAATGAATCAAATGCAATCGATTGCAGCGCGGCGGTAGAAATGGCTTTTGCTTGTAAATTTTTAAGAGAACTCTAGCAAAAGTCGCATACAAACAGATGAAAACTAGCTGGCAGCACACAAATCACAGCGGTGGTTCATGCCACATGCCATTGGTGGCAAGCATAACTCCTGCAAGTGTCTAGCAAACCGCTGCACCAAGTCAAGTTGCATGCCACAGCGTGTGTGGCCTTTAAGTTTAGCAATACACTTACAACTATAAGTGTGTAAACACCGTTAAAGCTCTGATAGGAAGTAAATATTACTGTTACCAGCCTGTTGCCGTCTCGCGTCCCGTTACTACTTGGAATTGTACAATTATGTGGCTGTAGAAAAGTTTGAATTTAACGAGAAAAAATTTCCACATCATCAAAGCTCATTCCAGTCGATAAATTCTGTGATAAATGTATGAGCTGGACGCATACATTTAGGCGCAAGAGTATATAATCAGACGCGCACGCACAAACTCACACATAAAACACAATCGCTGAGTTAGGCAGACAGGCATTTGTACAATGTACTTAGCTAAAGTAGCCGCTACTTGTGTGTGTGCTGAAGGCGGCGGAAATGGCGGCATAAGCATACATTTAGGCGCATATATACTAGTCACTACTACCTGCCGCTTTTCTTTTGAAAAATTTGCTATTTCATAAATTACTCTCAAAAATATACTTGTGAGCGCATCTACGGTTTGTCTGTGGATAAAATCAATATGGAGCGCAGCTCTTCAAGTTTCCCGAAAAATTTTCAAATTTCTTTGAGTGGACTTTAAGTTAAACGAGTGAAAAGGCCCGCTTATTACGTAATATTGATATTTAACTGAGTTCCAAATATATTTAGATGAGGTGAAATTTAGCTCAATTATCTGACGAATCAAAAGCGCTCAGGTTAATTAAAACAATGCTTTTGAAACTTTTTTATACCCCGTCTATCTGTACGTGAGCTAGTCCCTCAGTTTTTGAGATATTGATCGGAAATTTTGCATTAAACATTTTTTTTTAAAGATTATTGAGGCTTCTTAAAATCGCAATTACTTTGCAGAAATGATGATAGCTAATTTGAGAATTTTTAAAACTTTGATTCGTCAGATATCGGTACTCCCAATATAAATTTTTTTTTTTGGGAGTATCGAACGTAAACATTGACAAAGGGTCACAACAAGATATATATTATATTTATATTATATATACAGATAGCCAAGCGGCTTGAAATTACTAAGTGTTTCATTAAAGATAGTGAATACTTTCACACTTAATAGATCATCCTATTTCTCGATAAGCCTGCAATGGATTCCAGGGCATAGTGGCATTCCTTGTAATTGTTAAGCAGATGACCTAGCAAGAGCAGGCACTGACCTAGAATTAGACTCAGGAACAGAGCGAATTTATATGCTTCTGGCTACTTGTAGATATTTAATCGACAAACATGTTATACATAGATATAGCTGAGTCTCGGTGGAGTCAATTTCTAACTTGCTCAACAAGCAGGCAAACGTGGCATGAAAGGAACATGGGCCGCACGTGCCCACTATTAAAATTCAAAAGGAATGACATTAGAACTCTAGTAGTAGTGTTAACATGGTAGCAGACTAGGAACAGCATACAAAGATTATTGTAGACGCTGTCATGAGGAGAGTAGAAGAAGAAGAGACTATAAAACATCGTCTATGCGAAAGCAGAAGCTTTGTATCGGAAAATAATAGCAACTATCAGTCGAGGGTAGGTTGACGATGTCTCGGATCTTGCACAGATAAATATTTTTGTGGTGATGAACTTCATCAGGAGCACAGGGTGGTTCAGAAAGTGCATAATAGCGTGATGGGATTTTAGTGCAGGTGGTTTTACAATGAGCCTCCTAAAGGCCTACCTACCTGTAGCGTCATAAAAAATTTCCAAATAATTTTGAGGAATGCTGTCGAGTGGACAATTCTTGATTATTGTGCCAATTGCTTATAATAAACATTTTATTGAAAATTGTGTTTGAACCTAAAATTAATTTTTTAAAATGACTTTATATAATTCATATAAAAATATGAAACGAATATAATATAAAGTACCATCTCAACTATTTCCAACCGAAATTGCGGACACCATATTCAGGTTTATTTGTAAGTTTTTCAAAACAACAACAAGAGAATACGAAACCGCAGGGAAAATTTAAATCGCCGCCAATTAAGCAAATAAGCCAAAACCAATTGCGAATATTAGCCGCAGAGGCCGGGAACTAACTAGGCGCTGCAACGTATTCGCGAACGCTCTTGGCCAGTGTTGGTAAACAGAGAAGAACATTAATACGAAACTGCAAAGATAAATATAAATAGGCGCACAATAACTGTCAATACAGTGGGCACCGCACCACACCACACGGCGAAAAGGCGCTTTGTTAATTACATTCTGGTCAAATATTGGCAGCTCAATTAAATGAATTAAAATTGTGGTAGCAGCGAGGGGAAGGAGGAGAGTTGGCGCGCTGCTGATGGCGCGTTATGACTTTGATGGCGAGCCTTTTATTGTTGTTATACTATTTTTTTGTTGTTATTGCTACTCAGCGGTTATATGGGTGCGTCAAATTCGTTTTTCACCAGCTGCGTGTCAAGCGCCCAAATGTATGCAAGCTTTTAATTTTTTTTTATATGTTTGTGTGAGTGTAGACGCATGGCAGAGGTGTGAAAAATTTGACAGGCAATTAAAATTACAAGCGCAACGAATTTGAACATTAAAACCACAGCAATAAATTGTCCACCACCACACACCGCCCCTACCGCCGCTTTTCGCAGTTATCGAGTCAATGAGTTGGAAAACCAAATGCATGATTGTCCAATAACCACTCACTTCACTTGGTCAGTTTGTACAGCTAATTTGACGTTGCCTTTGTTTTACCGTTATTCAATCTGTACTCTATCCCTGAACTGCTTAACGAACTTCAGTCCCGTACTGTTAGGCGTGAAAAATTTGGCGCGTTAATGAGTCTGATGGCAGCTAATTATGATTCTAATCACATATAAATATTGCTGTGGTTCTGCTGGGGCTAAAATTCTCTCTGCACCTTGAAAACGTGATCAATTTAAAATGGTGATGAGTTTTTATGAAGGCTGTAGACAATTAGGTGGCGCTCATGACTAAACAGCCGGTACGCATTGGTTTGTATAAGTAAAATCTATCGCACTTTGATAACACCTGGAAATCGTAGATTATACTAAAATTATGAAAGTATTTCGACCAAATAGCTTTCAGCTTTTCAGCAGCTAGGGATGAGTATTTTCAAGCCACGAAAATGTCTGCGGGTTGTGCAAGATATCTAGCAAACAGATAAGCTCCCTTAATCACTTGGAACTCTTAGTGTTGGTAGTGGGTAAATACAACAAAAAACAAGTAAGGAAGAGCTAAGTTCGGATGTAACTGAAAATTTTATACTCTCGCAAAGTCAAATGGCATACTCGTTTGAGATTTCACCCGTTCAGATTGTCACCCGTTCACCCATTTTCACATCAAAAACATTTGCTCCCAGTGAATTTGGTTATTATAGCCTTAGCGGTTTAGGAGATATGCATATTAAACTTATGAGGGGCGGGACCACGCCCACTTTTTAAACAAATTTTTAACTGCAGATGCCCCTCCCTAATGTGATCCTTTGTACCAAATAACAGTCTTGAATCTTATTGCGGAGCTTAGTTATGATAAATTATTTGTTTTTGATTAATGGCGTTTTGTGGGCGTGGCAGTGGTCCGATTACGCCCATCTGCAATACCAACCGTCTCACGGTGCCAAGGAACATGTCTACCAAGTTTCATAAAGATATCTCAATTTTTACTCAAGTTAGAGCTTGCACGGACGGACGGACGGACAGACAATCACCCGGATTTCAACTCGTCTCTTCATCCTGATCATTTATATATACATAACCCTATATCTAACTCGATTAGTTTTAGGTAATACAAACAACCGTTAGGTGAACAAAACTATTATACTCTGTAGAAACAAGTTACGAGAGTATAAAAAAACGTATACAGAATATGGTAATACCAAGCCCTAGGCTTAAGAAACTATCCCACTCTAAGTTATGTCCTGGCCTCTATCTGGCCCTATTACTTCTAAGTTTAAAACTAGTAATAGTACTT